GTCGCATTGATTGGTTCAAAGGCTTGAAAGAAAACGTAAGATTGCGTCCAATAGGATTTGAACCTATACCAAAGGTTTAGAAGACCTCTGTCCTATCCATTAGAGAGAAGACGAGTTCTTCTTTCTTTTATCACTTAGGAGCCGTGCGAGATGAAAGTCTCATGCACGGTTTTGCCTTCGAGGGATTTTTAGGATCGTTCAGGCTATATATATTTAGTCTATTTTGGCTTTTACTGACTACTTTTCTCAGGGAGATGGTTAAGGACCTCAGAAGATTTGCTTTTGTTTTTTCGTATAGCACTCTTAGGGTGATTCACATTTCGAACAGGCATGGATACAGCATCTATAGGATAACTTCCATCTTGATAGTTCTTTCTGAGTTCTATCTGATATCCACGATCTCTCTTGATCTGTAAATCAATACAATGAAAATTTGACCGGATTTTTTTATGTGCGATTTAAATAGACATATATTTTCAAGAATAAATTGTCCAAGTGTGCATTTTTCGTTGGGGATTCCTTGGAATAAAACTTCGCGTCTTCCTTCGATTCCTTATGCGGGATATCCAATCAAAAATCAAGCAAGAAAACGGATGCGCTAACGTGCAACGGCTTTCGCGCTAGTTGCTCAAAAAATCGGATGAAATTGAAGCCATAATCAAGGAGTTACTCTAGAATGGTACTCTACAACCTAGTTCATGCCTCACCGGCTTTTCTTTACAAGAAGAAAGAAGGTTCGTGGCGCCTATGGATTATAGGCAACTCAATGCGCAAACCGTAAAAAAGAAATACCCGATAGAGTCATTGATGATCTTTTGGATGAGCTAGCGGGGACGGGCTTTACCCTGGTAGTCCCGCTGCTTCTATTGAATCGAGAAATTGGATTGTACATCTTTCATCTTTTTGATTTTGATATCGATTTTAATACATATAAGGTGTCCTACGGATAATGCAAATCGAAGCTATTTGATGTCTGAAAAGGTAGAGCAGAGGTGCTAACAATAATAAGAATCTTTCACCCTGCAAGTTACTCATAATTGAGAAATGGAAGGGAATGAGCTCGGCTGCTTCTCCCCCACACTTGTTTATTTCTCCGTACCCCTATTTAGTTAGAACTTTCGAGTTAAGAGCGAGAAAACGAACTATTTCATTTAATAAAAAAAGTTCTTTTCAATTTCGATTATATATATATTAGTTCATTTCTATTTCTAGATATCTATTTCTATATATTAGTATTAGTTAGTAGTACTATTAGTTACCGATCAAGCACTTTGAGTTAATTGAAGAACTAAATGAATCAAAAAGTAGGATAGGAGAAGATTATTTGTATTCCTAGTTGTATAATTATTTAGACACAATTTATCTTTAAGAAGTTTTAGTATTTTTTTTATTTTTTATAAGTATAACTTCAAATTTAGAACTAGTTAATAGCTAAGATTAATAACTAATATTTGAGATTTTACGGATTTCCTATACTATACCTATTTCTATTTGTTAACAGTAAATGAACCAGAATTCTTGGAGAATATTCAAATACCACAAAGAGCCAGCTATATTAGGGTGCACTTGCACTTCCACTGCAGCTCTGAGTTCATTCTTCAGACCCAAAAGAAATTGTGTCACCAGCAGCAGTCCTCCTACATTCAGATCATACAATTTAACCTAGCGGAGCGGATTCAACTACTTAAGATATTCTTCCCAGCAACACAAAACGAGGGTTTCGCTCGTTATAGGACTTGACCAAACATCTCAAGTGTACGGCACTTTGTCCGTCCAGATCGCGGTACATGTTCGGACTGCTCTGGATTGTAGAGGAACGAATTTCAGGCTACTTTAGATGGGCTTCAAACCCTCCGGCACCTTGAAGAACGATGGCACTAGATCGGGAAAGATGAATGGATGAGTTGGTATTTATCCCCTCAATATCGCAAGTTCCCCCGGATCAATGAAGAAGGGAGAAGTCAGTTGATTCCTCCGAAGAACCGGAAGCGAAGCGCTATGCCGGGGCGGAAGTGTACTTCGAGCGATGGGAAGCTAGCCTGAAAAGGTAGAGCAGAGGTGCTAACAATAATAAGATAATTCTAACGAGAATCAGATTAAATAGGTCGATCAAAAATCAATTTAGGAGTTGTGATAAAGTCTCTTCATTCTTTCATAGAATCCTAGTGAACCTAGAAAAAGAATACAGGCCCAGAAAAAATTACCCCTTTTTCGAGAACAAGGTATAACAGTCGACTTTCCTATCAGGATTTTACAACCTGAATACCAAGGGACCACTATTAGAAGAGAGCATAATAAGTAAATGCCGACACAAAAGGAGGGTAGACTTCATCCGAGACACATGGGTTCTTTTGCTTCCTTCAAAGAACTCGTCTTTGAGCCTCTAAAGAAATAGTAGGAATCCCCAAAATGGCACATTCCCGAAGAGCTATATACTCTTTTTGCTGATCAAGGACGATCACAATGTCTGGCTTGTTTAATTAAGTTCAACTTCAAATTTACAGAAATTTTGCAAAAAAAAAAGTAAACGACTGATCCTCAAAGGTAATGAATGGAAAAAATAGCATGTCGTAATAAAATCAATCTTTTTTGAATAGAATCCAAAATTATGATTTTTTTGGCTAAACCATTGCTAACTCTTCGATATATTTCTTGCTGAAAGTATCCCTGATCCCACTGATAACCGACTATTAGAAATCCGCCAATCCACATGTGGTGTGTGAACAAGGAAAGTTGTGTACCATAGTCAGTAGCTAGGTATTGATAGGGAGGCATAGAATACATATGATGAGCTACAACAATGGTTGTAGAGCCTAGCATAGCTAGGTTAAGAGATAATTGAGCATGACAGAAATGGGTTCTTTGCAAGAAAGAATTGCTTCTACTAAAAAGGGATCTATAACTTTGATTCAAGCAGTTTATGTACCTGTAGACGATTTGACCGACCCTGCCCCTGCCACAACATTTGCACATTTGGAGGCTGTCAATTGGATTCCCCCATCCAATTGAAGACAATCCAGTGGTTTATAGTTGATACAAAGAAAAAGGGAAGAGGGGTAGAAAAAGTTATTAGATAGCGAAGCGAAGGAAGCAGCTGCATGGTATTGGCATTTTGTAGATGTGGTTCGGTTATTCCCATTTGTCTCTATCTTTTTGTGGGGAGGTATATGAAAGAAGGGAACGAATAAGTGGATTGAGGAATAAAAGCTCGAAGATATAGAGTCTTCTGCGGGAAAGACATTTCTTGTAGAGTTTTGTAGATCTTTTTGCTCTACTTTTTCGAGTATTCCTTACATAAGATCTCGGAAGAGCCGATGTTACTAGCGATTCCTGCTTCATGCAGGCGAGTTGCAGCCTGCAATCCGAACTGAGGACGGGTTTTTGGAGTTAGCTCACCCTCGCGAGATCGCGACCCTTTGTCCCGCCTAAATCCGGAAGTAATCTTTAAAAAAAATTCAATTCTGGTAAAAAGGAGCAAGAATAACTTCAAAATAACTAACATAATTTTGTATTTTTCCTGATGAGAAAAATACATGAAAAAGAAAGGAGGTAGAAATTTTTTGGATTTATGGTTAAAGAAGAAAAAGAAGGAGAAAAAAAGCATGAGCAGGATCAGCAGAGGCAAAATCGAATAAAATGGCTTATTTGCACCTTTCTTTGGTAGGCAACGAATCTCACGGAATGCAAAATTTATTTGTTACTGAAGAGAAAACCGTTCCAGCTGTTCCTGAATAGCTTCCCCCTAGTATATGAAAGAATGAAAAGGTGCTTTCGTTCTTGTGCAATAAGAAGCCCTCGTACCTTAATGAAAGGAAGAAATCGAATAAATCTAACTATAGTGGTTGGTGATTCCTGGTCGAGTAATAGTATCTCAGAAAATGGAGTTTTCAATCCTACTTTCGATAGGACCAGTTGACAATTGAATCCAAATTTTCCCATTATTTATAGAGTAAATAGCTCTTTTCACAATAAGAGTTATCGCCTACTCTTCTTCTATAACCAGGATCTTACGACTCTCGTGCTTAATAAGTTGTAATAAAACTGAGAAAATTAACTCGGAAAGAAATTTTTTGGAAGCTCGTGAGATCGGTTGGTCGAAAATGCTTTTCAAGTAGTCTCAGTCGGCGAACTCGGCTCCACAGAAGAGAAAAAAACTAAAGGAGAATACTTAATAATACGGCAAAACATTTATACAAAACACCTATCCCGAGCACACGCAAGGGAACCGTAGACAGGGTGCCGCCTGATCAATAAAATACTTAGGTTTTTTTATAGTTCTGATCGAATTCGATAAATTTTTACTTCGCATAAGTTCGGGCAAGAAATTCGTTTTTCTTTTCCTGTCTGTATGATTTTGATTTTCGATGAATGAGCCTTTTGGAATGCTTTTAGTCGAATTTGGAAAAGGGAGACTAGCTGCTGCAATAAATAAAGAAGAAAGCAGGCGCAAAAGAGAAGCTCAATGAGATGCCGCGCTTAATAGAAAATTGTTTAGTTTAGGCATTTAGCTTAGCTTAAAATAGATATGTAACATGATGTACTTACGCGTGCAACCACTCCGTCTTCTTAAGAGGTTTATCTAAAAGATTCGCGATATAACTAGGAAGACCTTTCAAATACCACACATGAGTCACAGGACTTTTTTAAAAACCTTACATAATTTGAATTTCTCTTTCATTCCATGTTGCGGATAATGTGCTTTTGAGTCAAAGTGCAATCACCATTTCATGTACACCATCTTTGTCAATATCTGCAATTACCTATAGAAAGAATGTGAAAAACAACTCAAGAAATAAATGAATTCCAAAGATCTTGGGCAAATCCAAAGAGGGTTTTCCCGTCCGCTCATCAGAGAATATTTCTAGAAATCTTTTTTTTTCTGACCAGAGGAAGAGAAATAAAAACGTCACTTCGCTCGCCTTGGGGGACCTAATTAGGAGCTGATTGATTTCTTTAAAGAGTGGCATTCTATGTCCAATATCTCAATCGAAGTACGAAGGTCAGGTTGTCTCTTGCCTGCTCATGGATTCAGCAGGTAGTTTAAAAGGTTGACCTATTTGGGAATCTCCGGATCTATGCTTATTTTCAACTCCCCGAAGCATTTCGTCGCTTGCTACGCCCTTCCTCGTCTCTGGGTGCCTAGGTATCCACCGCAAGCCTTTCCTCTTTTGAACCTCGCCTCCGTGGATGAACCTTGAGGAGGAAACCTTGGGTTTTCGGGGCATTGGATTCTCACCAATGTTTTCATTACTCAAGCCGACATTCTCGCTTCCGCTTCGTCGACCCCCGCACTCATTCAATTATTCTATTCCGAGAAATCCGGACTACAATCTTCAGACAGAGGGTCCCTTCGATAAACTACTTGTCTCATTGGGAATACCCTCTTATGGAGAGCTAGATTCCGTAGTGGAGTTGACTTAGCTAAATTAGCAACTTATCGATCTGCTGTAGCTTTTCAAATCCACTCTAACCGAACTATGTTAATTATGGAATATCGCCTCGTAACCTTTTATTTCTCCCATCGATCGAATCGAGGAGGTCAAGTTTCGAGAGCAGAGCCTCTCGCTTCTGATTATCAGTCATATCGTCGTGCTCCATGGTTAGAAACTCTAAGGGGCCCCAACGGTTTGGACTTGAGTAGGTTGAAAAAAGATTAATGGGTGTAAAGAAATAGTACGCCCCTCTACTAAAGTGGGTTGAAAGACCTGTATGCCTAATCTATGCAGGGTAGGTGCTCTATTTAACAGTACAGGATGTCCCTGCATAACTTCTTGAAGTATTCCCCATACAATGGGTTCTTTTTCCCAAATTTTCCTTTTAGCAATCCTTACATTAGAAGTGGCGTGTTTCGTGATTAAATAGCGAATTACAATTTTTTTATTGCAGTAGTGAACTACTCTTAAATCGGTATTATCTCCCCCCCCCCTTCAGTGGCATAATAAAAATTGATAAGGTAGCATTTCCATTTCTTCTTCAAAAAAAAGATAATGAAAAAGATTTATACATATCCGACCAAATCGATCAAGAATATCCCTTCTCTTTTTCGTAAGACTGAGGTGTAGGTAGGGCTAAAAAAGCAAAAAAAGAGTCAAATCGCACCATCTCTATAATATGTAAATGCCTTTATTTCTCCTGAGGTTGTCGGAATTATTCGCAATAAAATATTGGCTACAATTGAACGCGAGAAATCTTTCTCCATGTCAATTCAAAACAAAACAAACAGACGGGTCAGCACCTCCGAAAGAAAGGGAGGGAGGACTTCAGGAATCGTACGGAAATGTAACTCGGTATTCAAACAACTATTCAGAGTTCCTAGAGCTCCTTATACGGCCTGTTGGAAAACCCGATGTGGGCTCCATAGCAGGAAATTATATATTCTGTCAAAGAAAGTCCCTCGCGTAAATTGCTTTGAATAGGTAAATCAAAATTCCTTCCTTTTAGGTGGTCTAGGTGGCTGGGATACTATGCCCTTCTTTTTAGAGGCTCAAAGACGAGTACGATCCATACTACATCTGACCAACTGCCCATCCTACCTCCTCTACCTTTTTGACAGCCCATCTTTTTGTCTCAGTAGAGTCTTTCAGTGGCATGTTTCAGTCCTCTTCCCCATTACTTAGAAAAAGTGAGCCACCGGTTCAGGTACAAGATACTATCATTACCGCCTGGACAATTAGACAGCCAACCCGTTATCGCAACGACCCAATTGCACACATAAAAAATCCGGTCAAATTTTCATTGTAAATATGAATTCCTTTGTTATAAGAGCAGCGCGCCTTGTTAATTGCTCGTCACGTAAGTGAATTTACGAATAGGGATCCCAGGTGCCCAACAAGTGAACTATTTCCTCCTTCAGGATTCTTTTTCGTGATTTCCATCGTAAGAAGATCGACTTGTAGAAGTCTAAAAATGGGGAGCAAAGGAAGAGGCTGATGTTGAGCCGGGTGATGAAGCAACTTCACCGCAACAAGAAGTCTAGTGAGCGGTTGACATGGTGGAAGGTCGTTCTACCTTTCCCTGTGCAAACAAAGCAGGCATACTTGATTGACTCTTTGGGGCTCGTGAGAGACATTCATATTATTGCGTTCTGTGATCGTAGATCGTCGGGAAAAAGGAAATACAAATTTCTCCATTCATTGAACCCTAGTTCGGGACTGACGGGGCTCGAACCCGCAGCTTCCGCCTTGACAGGGCGGTGCTCTGACCAATTGAACTACAATCCCCGCGTTTTTAGAAGAATTTTTTATGGAAGAAGAGCAAGTTTTTTCTTTGATGTTCACCAAAACAACTCTTTTTTCTTCTCTGGTCCTTCACTAACCGGGGCTAAAAGTCCTGAAATCGAAAATGAGGCCCGCGCGACGGGCTATTAGCTCAGTGGTAGAGCGCGCCCCTGATAATTGCGTCGTTGTGCCTGTAATAAATAGAGAACTGGATCATGTCACATGACTTATTCCATTTCTACTCTATGGGATCTTACGGAGCCTGTTCATGGATGACATGGTTTCCTAGAGGGAAAAGGAGGGAAACGGATACTCAATTTAAAGTGAGTAAACAGAATTCCATACTTGATCTCATAGATCCCTAGAATTTCATGTGATTCAGTAAACAGAATATAGATTCCATGATTGCTAGATCGATCCATAGGGATTGATGAAGAGTGAGCTGATAATGGAACAGAGATTTTTTGAATAGAATGAACAACCGTAACGGATGTTGGCTCAGTCCGAAGGACATTATGCGGAAGCTTTGCAAATTTATTATGAAGCTACGCGACTAGAAATCGATATCGATTTTGAAACATATAAGGTGTCCTACGGATAATGCAAATCGAATGAAAAATAGAAAAGTTTTTTCTTGGTCATTTATCAACCCTTTCCTGTTTCTTAAATGGAATATTCCAGCAGGAGCAACCGAACCATCTTCTCGTTGTCCTTCCATTCTTCTGACCCCTAAACTAGATTACTCTTCTTCTTCCTATGATAAAGCGGGGGCTGAAAGGGACTCTTTAAAGTACTTCAACGTTATCACTGGACTTTCGTGTCAATCCAACTGGAGGAGGGAAATCGGGAGAATAAAGAAGTCTTGCACGAGGGCGGCCTCTTTCATCTACCTTTATCCTTGGAAGCTCAGGAAGAAGCCCGTTTACTTATGTTTTCTCATATGAATCTCTTATCTCCCGCTATTGGGGATCCTATTTGCGTACCAACCCAAGACATGCTTATTGGGCTTCCAAAAAAAATTTAAAATGGGTAAAAGCCGAGAAGTTTTATATTTTTATATTATGAACCTTCGATTCTCAAATTTAAATTCTTCTACATTGAATATATGAGTAAAGGATCTATGGATGAAGATACAAAAAAGAACCCAGGGTTCTAGCCCATTCCCATTCCTAAATCAATAATTCGTAGTGCTTTTGCCTTTCTTGCGTACTCCTTCACTATCCTTGTTTCTATTTCTATTGCATTCTATCTCATCGTATCACATTCTGTTCTACGATTCCACTTCGACAACAACGTTCGACTTGCATGTGTTAAGCATATAGCTAGCGTTCCTTCTGAGCCAGGATTAAACTCAGATTTTGACTATGATTAGGCAAGGGGATTGATACCGAGAAAGATTTCTTCTTATTATAAGATGTGATTTGATCTGCATTTCGCAGATGTTCAATCTTGCGAGGCGTATGAGCCAGATTTTTAGTACTCTCCCGACCTGTTAGAGGCCACCCTAATAAGCGGAGATTGCCGGGAAAGAAAATGATCTATTTGATACTATGGATGACTGGTTACGAAGGGACCGTTTCGTTTTTGTAGGATGGTCTGGCCTAGAACATTTCTTCCCTTAAGCGTAAGCGTAAAACTGAAGATTGTGAGGCGTTTCCACTACATAATAAGAAACTAGAATTAGATCTTGGAAATGATCGACTCCAATAGATGCTCATCATAATTTTTATTCAGCGGTCGTGGTTATTGGCAAGAACTCATTGAATCTATCGTTTGGGCTCATAACAAATTAAAAGTTGCTCCTGCTACTCAGCATCTCAGGAAGCGACTTGAACCCTGTTTCAAATGGGGGGAAACAAATAAATGATAAAATAAAATTGGGAAAATAGAAATACTTTTTCTTGGGTAAAGGAACAGATAACTCGATCGATTTCTGTATCGATCATGATATACGTAATAACTCGGACATCTATTTCAAATGCATTTCCCATTTTTGCGCAGCAGTCGAAATATAGTTGTGTTGAGTTAGGTTGAAGATTTTTTACCAGATTTTAAAAATGAGTGAAAAAGATACCACGAGCACGATCTTTTTCTATAAAATCATCGCGCAATAAATCAACAAAACCTAAAGTCATTTCGCGTTCCTCAGTTGCAGGGTTTGGTGGCCCGAAATTGACTTGGCTTTGCCAAAAGGCCTCATCTCCAAAGCCCGGCTCGTGAAAAAGGTATGATAGGACAAGTGCAGGACCGATTCCCCATAATAGGTTAGATCGCGCCAATATCAATTCTTTTTATTCCAAGGCGAAGATTGAAACATAGCTCTTAAATTTGGTTGGACCATAAACATCCACCCAAGCACAATTATCACAAAGCCCCTTCTTGCTCTTTTTCTTATTCTTATTCTTATTCGGTGGAATACAATAGTTCTGAAGCTCCTTTCTTTCTTTGGTCTGGAGGAGGTCAATCAAAAAAATGACTCAATCAAAGATCCAACTGATCCCCACGCCTGTATTGCAAATACGCAGTCACGAATAATCCACTAATTCTTCCTCTGCTTGTGGTAAATCAAAGGGTAATCTTTCACATTCTGCCAAAGAAGAAATTAAAAAAACCAGAAAACCTATAGGCTGACGCCAAATATTCCATCCAAAAAAACCGTATTGCATGGAACAAAATCCACATTACCAGTTCTCAATTATGAGTAACTTGCAGGATGAAAGATTCTTATTATTGTTAGCACCTCTGCTCTATCTATCTCGCCGTGATCCAAGCAGGTTCAAGTGCTTGAAGAGCATATCTACCAAAACAAATACGATTGCCTCAGCAGGTCAACGATCAGCAGTACTGAGCTACGGAAAGTCTATCAAATTATAGCTAGCCAAGTGATTGATATTATACCTCCCGGACCAGAACTTCTTGTTTCAGAGGGGGGATCCATCAAGCTTGATCAACCATTAACAAGAAATTCTAATGTGGGAGGTTTTGGTCAGGGGGGGCTCGAACCCGCA